ATGGCGTAGCTTTACTCGCTGTCATTAAAGATTATTCTTCAAGTACATCTAAGCCATCTTTTCCTTGGCAAATATTTATTTGCAATGATTTTCCTCTTAATTATTTAAAATATAATAAATTAGGCATAAGTACTTTGCCATTACTGCAATTTAAAGTGTAATTGCATATCAGAAGAGTCTTTTCTTTGGAACATGTGCCTGTTTCCTTTTTCCACCAAAAGGTGGCGTCCTATTCCCGTATCCTTCCTTTTACATGAAAATCCCCCGTTTTAATTTGCCAAAAGAAACTTCCATTTGATTACTGATCAAGAAATTAAAATGTGCTCTATATGAGTGCAACGTGACAGTGTTGAAAATGAACAATATGTTAAGCTGCAGTTAAGTTCCCCACTAATATATACCAAATGGACATGCAAGCTTCTATCATTTTGGTTGAATAGACACTGGTATGCAAAAAACCCATATTGCAACATTTAAAAGCAACTTCCCCTTTTTATGGAGTTTTTTGTTCCAAACCACAAATACAGTAAACTCCACCACTAAATACAAAAAACGGGAAGCAACAAAATGGCTCCCATAAGTCTCATTTAAGTTCAATGCAAAATAAGTTGCATCACTTGATTGAAACTTCTAAAGCTGCAGTGCCTATATAGCTTTTCCTTACAAACGACCAAGTTGCTATGACAATACATTCTTGTCTTCAGCAGTTCCAAAAACCGAACCTCAAAACCTTAATTTGTGCTCCCTTGCAAATGGAGTATCACTCACCTGCTTTGCTTTTAATTCATTCTTACGAATAGCGTTTTGACCCACCGTAGGTCTCAGTCTCATAGTCAAACTGTATTGTTTCAAATTGTGTACGAGATGCGTGGGTTTTTTACTTATGGAACGTACACAAAATGTAATAGTAAAATTGTGTTTTTGTGCATGCTTATCAATCAATAGACATAAAAAACCATGATGCATATATATAATTTCAAGTATCATGATGCTATCATCACTCCATGGGAGGAACCCATCATCTTGATCTCTTGGCATGAGCTAATGTTGTTCCAATGTATTTTACTGCTGTAAACTGTAATGGGCACTCCCAACCAACTTTGACTTACTATATGCTGCCACAGAACTGTCAACTATTGGAGAAGGCCTGTTGCTCAGTGGAAGAGCATCTGCTTTGCATGTATAAGGTCTCATGTTCAATGCCTGGCATCTTCACTTAGGGCTGGGAAGGGTTCCCAGTCTGAAATCCTGGTCAGCTGCTGCCTAAATGATGCCGCGCTAGATGGACCAGTGTCTGACCCAGCAGGAGTCAAATTCTTATGTTTCCTACATATATGTATACTTGTTCTTCTGCTACCAAGTACTTACTCCCGAACTGATACGGGCAACTTCATCAAGTTCAGAGAGCATCTTCAGGGTCTGTGGATTGCAACATAAGTCTAAAAACTACAAGAGCGCTCAATAATGCAGTAATCTCTAAATTGCGTCTCTGGTCAATTTAAGAGAGCATGGCTAAAAGTGAGTAATGTTTCGAACACTGGACATGATACAGAGCTCTGTGGCCTTCCACAGCTATTCCAAACTCCTTCAGCCCCAGTATGGATGGCAAATGGATGATATAGGAGTTACCAATCTCCGATATAGTGGAAATTTAGGTATGATATACCCTATTACATACTTGTTGGAGTTGTTGGCATCCGTCCACAAAAGTTCACATCATAATAAATGTGTTACTCTTTAAGGTGGCAGAAGACTATGACATTTTTGTTGCAGAAGACTAACATGGCTACTGCGCATGTGTGTGTGTGTGCGCGCACGCACGCACACACACACTTCTGAGTATCTGCGGTGCTTAGACAAACCAATACACACTTATCCACTCATTCCTTCACCCTCTCAACAACACTGTCCAGTACGTAGGCCACAATTCAAATGGGGACCGCGGCCCTGAGAAATGTTTGTAACAAAATCTCTTTCCATGGCTTATGAAGCAGGAAAAGGGTAAGCCTTCCCAGCCACCCAGGCTGCTAACCTTTGGTTTCAATAAAATAAAATAAAATAAAATAAGTACAATAAAATAAAATAAGACGTGGCTCCTCAAACATATGCTGGATAAAGAATGATTTGGAGAAGAGGAACTCCTGTCTACATGCACTCCTGCCCCAGTTCCAATTTCTCACCTAAATTTGCTTGTTTCTAGAATCAAAGACACTTCTTCAAGACTACTGAGTTCATAGTAATTAAAATGAGATTTGAACCCAGATCAAAATCTAAGACATAGGCTACCACTACGGATTAGTGTGAGATCTATTTAAATTGTAATAACTGTAATTTCTATAGAATCTAAAGTTCTACTAGGCCCTTTACAAAAGATATAAATTCTAGGAATGTGGTTGGAATTTTGCAGTTCAGGCCTCAGTTTATTTTGACCTAATTCATAAATTGACCTTTTTTTACTTTGAACAAAGCTGAAGAGCCAAAAGGAAACCTACTACTACATATAATTTTAATCTGAAAAGTGTCTTAAATTATTTTAAACTGTATTTTTCCCTCACTGCAATTCTGAGGTAGGCCACTATTATTCTAGTTTTGCCAAAGAGAAATTAGGAGATGGTGACTTTCTCAGAGTCACATAGAATTGTAGAGTTGGAAGGGAACCAAGGGTCATCTAGTCTAACCCCTGCAAAGCAGGAATCTCAACATGTGGCCCTCCATCCTATGGTTGCTGTAGGATTGAAATCCGTCTCATCTGTCTGCTGGATCAAATTGTGTCTTATTTTCCAAGGGCACAATCCATTCAACATTAAGCACTTCTAACTTAAGTGGGAGAGGTGTAAGCATGTTTCTAGCTTTCCCACTGAAATCCATTGGACTTACGATGTGACTTAAAATTAGCCTCGCCTTGTTTGTATAATTTGAAGGCACATAATGAATTCAGATAATCATTATGCACATATAACTAAAAAAGGAGGGTGAAAGGTTTTTATTCAGAAGGTTATGTAGAAGGTTAAAGTGCTTGCCTTTCTTGAAAAATACACTCCTGACTATAATGGAACTAGTATTTCACTCTAATAAATAGTTTCCTCTAGTTGTCACTGGTTAAATTTCATATGGATATTTTTAAAACTCCAACAATGTTAAGTGTAAGAATAGATTGTTGAGGTTATGAAAGTGTTTTAGTAGTGATCCATTCAGATACCATTTTTAGAAATAGTATGAAATGGGTGAATAAGTGGTTAGATTATGCATTACAAGGATAGAATATTGTTTAGTGGTTAGACCACAGGTCTGAGAGTCAGAAGGAGCTCTGAATATTATTCACAGCTTTACCACTGACTCATTGTGTGAATCTGAGGCAGGTGAGATAACCCTTTCCGTACCTTGGTATATTTATTTATAAATGTAATGCAAGACTGTGTCTTACTAAACTTGTTCATATACTTTTGGCTTGGATTAATTCTAAAACAACCAAGTTTAGCCAGTTTTGTAGGGATGGCAAAGTATCCTTTCTCTTTGCCTGCTTCTCCGCGGAAAAAGTCAGTTTACCGGTATAGCCACAAATGCTAGCAGCTTCTGTGCTGTGAATCTCTTTTTATCTCACAAAAGGCAAGTTCTGCAGCATTGTGGCCAGAGCCAGGGATGGTGATGCCAGCACAGATGGGACTAACAATAAAGATGAACAGCAACTTTTTCCTCTCTTTTCATCCGTTCCGTAGAAGGCAGTTTCAAGTTCAAAGATTTTGAATGCACGGACAGCAACTTTTCTAGAGTGTTAACCCACCCAGCACTCTTTATTCTAAAATGCACGCAAGGAGCAGGTAATATGTATTAAACAACCCACTGGCGTGCTAGCCCCTGGGTGTGTGTTCCTAAGAGGAACCGGAGAAGGCAAATAAACAACCAGCCTCTCGCGAATGTTTTCTTTCCCGGTCGCTTTCTTGAAACGAGCTAGAGGAGGAAGAGAGTTTCTCCCCCTTCCTTCCGAGTTTCCTAAAGCGGGCCATTAGGAGACGAGATCTTTCTGAATGCGGGGTGTTTGGGGGGGGGGGGAGAGAGAGAGAGAGAGAGAGAGAGACTTTCCCCGGATCTAGACAACACCACGCACTCCCTTTGCATGGTGGACATATCGGCTTCCTTGCACTCATGGGCTTGTCCCTCTGCTGAACTTTCACCTCTCGAACTCGCCTCCTTTCATTGGGTAAAGTGCACAGGGGGAGAGGTGGAGGGGGGAACCCCTTAGCGAGAGAGAGAGACGGGGAAAGAGGAAGCCGGCATTTGGCTCCCAGAGCACTTGCACTTTCCAATTGCTTCCCTCGCACTCTCATCTCTGTTTAGCGCCTCCCGCCTCCCCTTTTACAAAAGAATCCAACAAAGCAAGCCGAAGTCCGACCCCTGGAGATCGCCGCAGATCTCCCCTTACCTTGCCCCCCCCAACCCCTCCTGTTTGCTCTTCTCCGGGCTGCCTCTGCTTCCTCTTCTCGTCCCCCCAGCCCGCTCGCCGCCTTCTCTTTAGTTTTCTTCCCCTCTCCCTCGCTCCTCTTTCCCAATCTCCCCCCGCAGATTCCCCCCGCCGCCCCTATTTGCTGCACTCCCTCCTGCCCGCTCCCTCTCCTCCTCCTCCTCATCTCTCTCCCATTCTTTTTGTGTGTGCGCGCGTCTGCAACTGCGATATCTCCCTCTCTCCCTTCTTTTTGCACTGAGCCTTGTTTACCCAGCAGGTGGATGTGACGTCAGGGACTCATAACAGCAAAAAATAACAAAATCTCCCTCCGCGGGGTGTTATTTTTCCTCGCCCTCTCTTTAAAAAAAGCTTTTTTTAAGGGGGGAAAACAACGAGCCCAACTCCAAAGTGGCTGCAAGGCACTCGGAGCAAAGCCGCGTGGAGCTTAGCCCAGCGCGCGCGTGTGTTATTGGGGGGAGGGGAAAGGGGATGTGGGGGGTACGGGTGGGGGAGGAGGACTGCCCTCCCTCGCTTGCTTGTGCTGCTTCTGCTTCTGCTACTGGGTTGCCTTGCCTGATTGCTGCTGCTCTGCTCTCCCCCCTTTGGAAAGCTAGTTCCCGACTCGAGCGGAGGGCTCTATTGTTATTTATTGTGTGGCTTGTGTTGCACGCTGTGCCTGCTGCATGGGGCTGGCTGGCTGGCTTGGAGAGGGAGTGAGGGAAGTGAGTGGAGTGAAGGGAGGGACAGACAGGCAGGCAGGCAGACTCACTCACCCGCCCGCAGTGGGGGGAGCCCCTTAGCTGGCACCGCCAGGCCGTTTCCAGCGGGTGAGTTTGCCATTTCGCCTTTTCTCATCCACTTTTAAGTCTCCTGTTTTGTTTTGTTTCTATCCCCTCACGACTCCTCTTCAGTGCTCCCCCCTCCCCTGACTCTAACCCCCCCTCCTCCTCCACCTTTCCACGTGCCTCGGCATCTCTCTCCCCCCCCATTCCTTTCTCTCCCCCACCCCCACTCCCAAACATGCCTATTTGCATAAAGCACCTCAGGCGCAATGGGAAGAAGCCGCGGCTCCTTCACCTCCGAGGCTCTTCCTCTTTCTTTATGTCCCGTATTTGCACCTCATGCTTCCCTCCCCACCCCCCAAATCCGGCCCCGCGCTCCCTTCCACCCTTTCGCTCTCCACGCGCTGGACGTTGCACACACGACCGCAGCAAGTTGGAAGCAGCTTCTCTGTACTCTTTGCCCCCGGTGTGTGGTGTGTATATGTGTGTGTGTTGTGTGCACGCGCGCGCGCTCCTGCGCGAAGAAAGTCCCTCAGGCGGGAGAAGAGCGGCGGGGGTGGGGGGGGGTGAGCGAGGGGGGCCGGCGAGTGTTTGGAGGGTTTGCCGGCGGGGCGTGTGCGCTTCCCTTGGTCACTTGGGGTACTTCTCAGCGAGGAAGAGGCGGGCGAAATAACTTTTCGCCCACTTGGAACAAACTTTTTGCCCCGTGTGTTTCTCTTGCCTCCTCTCTGCTGCTTTCGTACAGTGAACTTCAGTGCATAGGCCTTGGGGACTCACACCTTTACACGCTCACTGAACTTGAACTCGCCGGTTGTTTTCACACACGCGCGGCTCACCATTTCTTGCGCTCCTCTGGTTCCGTGTGGAGCGGCTGCCGTCAGACTTTCCCCCTACCACACACACATACACACACACACACACCTCTCCACACCCGCAGCTCGTGGGTTTGTTAACATGTGTGCAGCACATCTCCTTGCAAGCCGCGGAGGACACGTTGCCCATTTGTATACGGCGACGGCAGCGCCGACTATGGCAACTCTCGCAATGTCAGACTGCTGGTGATGGTGATACACAAGGGCCGGACTGACCCAAGGTATTCCTCTCTCTCCCCCCTCCCCGGTCCCTTCCACGCCCCACGCCAAAGATAACATCACAACCCCTCCTCAGTCACACAAAGGAACATTCAGAAGAGGGAACAGGCATTCTCACAGACACAAACGACAAAGCTGGAAACAATCGCCTGCGCAGGCAGGCAGGCAAGCGCAGCCGCGCACCGCAGGGAGACCCAAGTCCACGCGCGCTGCCGGGCTCAAGGCGCGCTGAGACGCGGCAGCCACGCACGTGGAGACGACCGTAGTTTTCCACACGAAGGAAAGCGGGGGGATCTCCATGCAGGAGGGGGAAGCCACAAACGCGCATATACGCACAACGGCCGCAAGTGGTGACCCGAGCCGTGTCCACAGCGCTAAGTTACGAAAGTGAGCGACTTTACCCCCCGGCACAAACCGTGCCCAAGAACCGCGCGCCTTCCCTCTTGCCCCGCACCCGGTCGCCGCACACTCCACAAAGTCACACTGGAGGGAGCCATAGGCAGGCGATTTCCAAGGCGGTCGGCAAGTCACATCCGCAACGACTTGACATGCACAGTCGCACGCGTGCGCACACACAAATGGCACCACTTACCTAGTGGCTCTCCTCTCTCCCACCTCCCCACCCCCGGTGTCACACAAAGCGCACAGTTCTACACCTCCACCTTTTGCCCGGTGCCTGCGCTAAAGCTTCCCCGCTCTGGCTCGCTTGCTGCCGCTCGCTTGCTTCTCGGCTGCCGCGCCGGCGGTTCCTTTGCCTCGGGTGGCTGCGGCCGGGCGAGCGCCTTCGCGGCCGGGACAAGTTCGGAAAAGTTGGCGCGCCCGCTGGTGCGCGTTGCGGCTCCAGCTGCGCCGGCTCTCCCGGCGCCGCACCCGCGGGCCTTTGGTTGCCTTCGGCACCCTCCCCCCACCCCACCCTAGTTTCTCCCCGCAGCTGGTTGCTGTTGAGTCTTGTGTTGCGGCTACCTCTAAAGTGACTTGGTGGCGAGACGGTAGTCCCCCACCCCGGGCTCGACGCTTTCCTTCCAAGCTCGGAGGTGGGGAGCGCATCTTCAGTCCGCGCTCAGCCTCCCGCCGGCGGCCGCTTGCGCGCCTCGCTTGTTCACTTGCTGCCGCTTCTTGACCTGGAGTATGTGAATATACATGTGCAACTTCAGACACCCAGGCAGCCTGCCATGATTTGCCCCTGGTGCATCTGCAAAAAAGAGCAGATCCCAGCTGAGCAGGAAAGAGGGCTGGGTGTGTGTCTGTGTGTGTAGGCGCGTGTGCGTCTGTGACAATCTTAGATCCTATTACTATATCTGATTTCCTGATCCCTTTCTTGCAAGAGCTTTCCAAGGCTTTCTCCCCCCCCCCCATCATTCCCTTAGACACAACCTTACATTTCCACCCCCTCCCTCCTCCAGTTCTTCGCCTCCCCCACCTCTTAACCAAAACCTGTTTTGTGGAGACTTGTTGAAAGTACCCTTGGTTTCTTCTCGACTATAGAGCCCAAAGTTTTGACTGCCGGAGAGCACAGGAGCAACAGCAGCCTTTGGCTTAGGAGCTGGGTGCTGATGGTGGCGATCACACAGTCGCAGAGCTTTTTCTATCGGTAAGTATGGGAGAACCAGTGAAGGCTTTCAGAAATCCCTAACCTACCCAGACAAAAACCCCAATACAGGAAAGCAACTGAACCTCATCCCTAAAAGAGATCTAAACCTTCAGAACTGCCAGTTCTGATTTTTGTTTCTAGTGAAAATGCGGGAGGAGGGGAAGAAGAGGAAGCATAAAAATATACTTTCCTTGTTTTTAAGCTAAGAAAACGAGTTCAGGAGTTTACAAAAAACAAAAGTGCTGTCATAAAATATGATGACATCTCTCGCCCCCCTCCAATCTCATCCCACCCCGCTATTAATTATTTCCAAGCCATTGTGTTAAAATACCATTGCTGGGATGATTACTAAGTGTATTGATTTTACACTGTCTCCGTCTGCCATGGTTTAATTTTTTCCCATTTTCATGCGAAAGAGTGCAGAAAGACCAGAAGCCACAGGCAGGACTAGGGAAGGCAGTGGCCCAGCTTGTGCTGATTTTGAACTGGGTGGGAGTGTTGCAGTTGCATCCTGAAAATGACCACAGGAAAGTTGGTTCTGTTAAAAACAACAACACCCCCCCCTGCTCTTTAGAATGATGAGCCCAACAGCCAGCTGTTTACTGTTGCTTCTTGAATAACAAATCCTCGGAGAATGAGATCTTCTGCTCTTAGAAGTTTAGGGTTTCAGTTTTGGTCACTTTTAGGAGAATGAGTAATATGAACAATATTTGCATAGCCTGTATATGTCTGATATAATCCTGAGTCTTCGTGTACTGAGTGGTAACACTTTAAAAATACATTTTATTTACAGTTTGTTCTCTGACTATATCAGACTTTCATTGTTTATCTAATTTTATAAAGCATCAGGAGGACCAAGGAAATGTCTGTACCATTGCAGATAAATGTAAGGCATGGTGTTCATGCTATTTTGCTTATATCATTTGCTCTTACTTAAATTGTAAGATGAAAAAGAAGAAAGAAAAATCCAAAAATAACTGTTCATATTTTTTTTAATGGACCTGAGTTTTTCCCAAGTTTTTAAAGGACAGGTTTTCTCCCCAAAGATCCAGTTAGTTCTGCTAAGAGCAAGCAAGCAAGCAAGCAAGCAACTAGCCTGTGAATCTTGAGAGGCAGGATTGCAAATCAGAATAAGAGAACAGTAAATAAATTTGAACTGCTTTAAAAATGTAGAATTCAACTTCTCTTCTATTTTTTTGTTTAACCATCTTAGCACTGTGCAGAACGACAGGGCGGTGTGTATGGGGGGGGGGACGACTTTCCACGCACTGCTATTCAAATTGTGTCAGCTAGAATCTCCTTGCAAAGAAATGTATTTCAGGTTTAACATCTTGCATTGGCAGCATTCTTCCCTCCTCAGTCTTTGGATTAGTCATTGTATGAGAGGTTGGGGTGGGGGGAGAGAAAGAAAAATCACTTTCTTTTTTTTTAAAGTAAAGTAAACAACCTCCAACAAGTGAACCTTGACAACCCAGATTAAGGAAGGCAGGAGAGATCAAACAAAGCTGCTGCTGGGCTGTTGTTAGGAGCTGCTTCACTGAAAGATCTGGACTATTCGATCAGGCAGCAAGACTTCTATGTTCATTTATGCAGAAATGGGACCATTACAAATACTGATCTTTGTTGTGAAACCTTGTAACTTGGAGGAAAGCCTATCTGTTCTATTTCAGATAGTATTTTTGACCTAATTATTATTTGCAAGACTTAGTTAATTTAAGAAAAGGCATTCCCTGATTTGGCTGAGTTGTGTATTCGCAATGCCTTGATGTACAACTTCATCACCCCCCCCCATCTGTAACACCTTGAAGTGCAGAGAGGGAATGCTTGAGTTCTCAAGCATCTGTAAAAAAAAATGGGGGGGGGCTGAAGTTCAGTCTTTCAGTTAGAGATCCTCTCAGCGAACAAAGACATTTGGGGGTTTCTGGAGGTGTTATTCGGATATGGACCGGAACAATTTCATTGTGATGGTAGTTTTTATTTTCTGTAGTTCGAGTTTTAGGAAATCAAAGCAATGTTTTTTATACACTGTAAAACATGCCAGTCACTGGGACAGAATGTTCTGAGTGATTTTTAATGGCAAAATAGAACAATGTCAAAATTGTATTTCATTTTTAAAGAGCACTGTAAGCAATTATTTTAGTATTTTCCTGGTTTTGTATAATTTAAAGAAGTGCCATTAAACATAGCTGCAGCACAATACTATGCAGAAGTAAATTTCACTGAATATAGTGGGACTTAGCCTAGGAAGTGTGTTTATACTTGAAGTCCAAGGCTGCAAGAATGTACACAATTTCCTGTGAGTAACTACCACTGAACACAATGGAACTTACTTCTGAGTAGACTTGTATAGGTTTGTGCTGTTAGTCTTGGTTACGCTATTTATTTTGTCTGAAATAATTCATTTTGTTGTAATACTGTTCATTGCAACTGTTATTTGCAAACTAATTTCTTACCATGACTAGTATTTTAATAAATGGCATTTCTAAAATAACAAAGTGAAACAATTCCCATATGACAGTATATACAACAGGTAAATAATGATAAATGAATAAATAGCTTAAATGGATCTTGAATTAGCATTTCAGATAATAAGAGAAACGCTACCTTTTGAAAATGTCAGTTTCATAACCGTCCAAACCTGCTTCGTTGATGATTAGATTCATTTTTATTATTGGTACCTTTATAATATCATTAAGCACATGTTCATTAGATGTACACATGTATGCTATTAAACCATTTGTGGCATTGTGTAGCTTTTTAAAAAAGCTATAAATATTTCATAGTCCCCCAGCTCTAGCATTTACACTAACAAAGGTAGAAATATTTCATTTCTGTACTGTTAGGAGAATTAAGACTTCTACTTTTTAGATTATAATTTATGCAGTGCTTTTAGAAGGAAAATGCAGCACTGCCCCCCTTTAATTTAGTTTACATAATGCAAGAACGATGACAATGAGGAGTAATAATACAAATATGGGATCATCTGACTTTTTTTTTTTTTAACAGTATGGGAAAAACAGTGTATAGAATAATATTAACTGGGGAACTTTTCCAAACCGAAAACTGATACTGTGGCTTGCCTCTTCTTTGAGCAGGAAGTTCTTGGATACAATCCATCTCCAAGTACAATCAATGAGAATTTTCATTGACTGGAATGAAGGTGGATTGCACCCACTGAATTTTCTTTTGTGTAAATACATTAGCTGCTGGGCTGCACTATTTAATTCATATGCAAACTTGTGCATGCGTAACTCTGTAAAGCATTTCATCTAATGTGTTTTATACGTACAGGTACTATGCATGTGAAATAATTTCACCAAGTCCGTCCGGTTATTTATAGGACACAATAGTGTTTCTGCCTTTAAAATGTTCTTGGAGATGCTCTAATAAAATTTAAATAGATTATAGGCTGACAGTATAATAGTATAAATTTTGTTTACGATTCCATTGCTTTAAGGTACTTACACTAAAAGAAGCTCCTTTAACCCCAAGATTGAGTGGCATTAAGTGGTGAGAGTAGTCTTCTGAAGTGCTGCTACTGCCCTTTGCTCTTGTGATAATCTTAAATTACTATAACTTAATTGCAACTTCAAGGCACTGAGCTAAAATGTTTTTATGCAGCTCAACAGGGCTTGGTTATATGGAACTAGGCTTTCATGTGTGCATGTTTTTTGTTTTACTTTGTTTTGTTTTAAAAGGTGACAACATGGGAGCATGAGCCTTTTCCTACTGCAATGAATGGGTGTATTTTTGTAGTTTAAAATGAAACTTCAAGCAACTTCACCTTGTGTTTCACTACCCCCTCCCCATGTGCCATTTGAGTTTCTTGGTCCTTCAAAGAAACACCTAAGAGCATCTGATATGTCTGTGTATGTGTGTGTTTATTGACGTGTGTACATGTAACATTAAAGTAGCATCTATGTTAGCTAAATTCAGGGTGTTTTGTTTTTATGTTTTGCTTTTAAAATCTGGATTATACAAATTAACTCTTCGTAGCTTCATGACGACATGAATACCACTTTTCAGTTATATGAACCTCTGGTTATACAAACATGTTGCATATCCTCAGTCAGGGCACTGGGAAGAAGGAGTACTAGCTTATGTATGTATTACAGCATAGACCACAACTCCGTAAAAAGCCACCTCTTCTTTCATTGTACCTCCTACTATTTTCATGAAGCTGAGCAGCAACTTTAAAAGTGGTCCAGTTCTAAGAAAAAAGATACTCAGAATTAAACCTGTGGCAGTAAGAAGACAATTCGTGCTGTGGTATATCCACCTTAGCTTGCGTCTAATTCCATTTGTAGCACTGACATTGCAGATGTATAGCACGAATAAAAACTGCTGTTAGAGTTGCTGCGTGTCCGAGATTTTAAGGGGCATGCTTCATTTTGAATGTGTGTCTTTTATTGTAACAAATCACAGCCTCCTATCTACAGAATGGTGGATGTCCCATGTCTCAAGGCATGGCAGCTCAGCTGATGTACAGAAAGTGGATGCCAGGTTCCCTTATTTTTGTTAATTTGATCTGACAAGCCTAACTGCTTTCAGCCATATGTGTGGTTTTAGTGAGGCCTGCAGTCATCCAGTTTCCTGCATCTGAGATGAGGCCTTGAACCCAGAGCCTTTCATTTTCATCGCTACAGTGACACAGCATTTCCATTTGTGATCTGACAGAAGTAAAGGGCTTACTTGACAATGGATTAAGCATTTGGGTCGTGCTTCCCATATACTAAAAATTCCTGATTTATTTTTGGGTATTGCTAGCTCATGGAACATGCAATAACATAATTAAGAATATGTATTATGGTAGGAAAAACAGCTAAATTTTAAGATCCAGTATGTGGATTTTTAGAGCACGTTCTTCTTGAAGCGTATTTATAGTAAGTTGTACAGACCCAGATCCAGGCAAGATTTTTAACTTGTAAGCAGTGAGCAAGTGAGTAGTCCTGTTTACCTACCTATGATTGTCTCTCAAGTTAGGTGTGCTGTTTCATTGA